TTAAAAAAAAAAAAAAGTGTTCCCTTTAAAAAATGGGTTCTAAGTGTATAATGAGCATGACATGTGAGAGTGGGAGGGTGATAGAACAGGCATTACAGAGCCTCTGCCCTCAGAATGCTGCAGAGGGAAGAGTGGCGCTGAGTGACAGCCAGTTCTAGTTGTCTGCAAGGCAGAAGTATTTAGGAGTTTCCCCCTTCGTGGATCAAAGGGACAAAAACATCGCTACTTACTCTCCTGGAATGTAGATGCCATTCATTTTTCAGCCACCGATTGAAATTCAGCTGTAGAATGCTAAATATTAATTTCATTTTTGAAGGCAGATGGTTCTTTGGGGTCTCATTTCAAAATTTCTTTGCAGACTAGTTTATAATCAAAATATGTTTCAAATTTTCATAAAAGCTGCCCTGTGCTTATGCTAAAAACCTGGTTTAGTGGAGGGTAAGGAATCCCTTAACTATTACTTGACAGGGAGAGTATTGTGTAAGTGAAAAGCATTGCTTATAAAATGCTGGGGCCTCTTAGAGCTGAGACTTCTTCATGTCCTTGCCTGGGTGAATTCAGAAGCCACCCTCTACCTACAACTTACTTAATGTACTTTCTTCTTCTTAAAAAATTTTGAAACAGGGCTTACCGGCAACATCAGATATAAAAGATATTGACAGTTTGATGAGAATTTCTGGCAGAATTGAGTGTGAAAGTCCAAACAGACATCTCTATGATTTTGTTGGAAACATAAGGCTTGATGGACATGGGTATGTAAAATCAGTTTCATACAAACATGGAAAGTGCTGTGTGAAAGTTTTGCTGAGTTTCTTCCAAGCTTGGGAACATATTATTTTCTTGTGCTCTCAGTTTCATTACTCAAAATCCTTTTTGTATGTATCACTCTTCTATACAGTCCTTTTGTGAAAATGATATTTAGCCCCAATACATAACTCAAGATATTCCCAGGATTCCTGCCATCCTGGTAGTTGGATGTTTTCAGGAATATGTCCAGGCTTCTGACAAATTGTTTAATAGGTAAATAACCTGTGGCCTATGCTTGAGCCAGAATACTTATGTAATTACAAATAATAAGTTTACTATCCAATCTCCATGGCCTGGGTCCTTTTCTGTGATCCCTGGATACATCACGGACTTTATTTGTAAGGAGTTCATTGTACTGAATCATTTCTTGTGTCCTCTATATAATTCTGTGTGTTCTGTTCTAGGCTATGTCTTCTGTAGTCATTTTTTATTTTGACACATGTCCTGCCCTTTTCCCTCCTCCCCTCTTTCCTATCTCTTCCCACATCCATTCAGCCAATACATATTAAGCACTTCTTTGGCTTGGCCAGTTACAAGTGTTAAGGATGCAGCAACAAACAAAGTAAATAACTATGTTCTGGCAGTCAGGGAAAGGTAAACAGACCAACAATGAGACAATCAATAAGCAAATTCTGTAGCATGCTTAAAAGTGATAGATGCTTCTGGAGGATGGGGGGGCAGGGAGAACTGTACGGGATAAGGGAGATTGGGAGTCCTTGGGAAGGAATCACTTTTAGTTAGGGTGGTCCCAGTAAGTCTCATTGAGAAGGTAGTAGTTGAGCAAAGTTGAGCAGGGGGTGAGGAAGTTAGCCATTTGACTGTCTAGAGGGAGAGGATTCCAGGCAGAAGGAATAGTGCATACAAAGTATTTTTTATATTGTGACATCTTAAGAAGCTCTGGTGGCATGGTGCCTAAGGCATGTGACTGCTAACCAGAAGGGTGGCAGTTCAAACCCACCAGCTACTGGTTGAAAGGAAGGTTGGGCAATCTACTTCCATAGTGATAATTGCCTCAGCAACCCAAGGAATGGTCGCTGTGAGTTGGATCCGACTCCATGGCAGTGAGTTTTGTTTTGGTTTTTGACATGATCTAATAGTGGAAAGGTGATTGGAGTATTTGCAGAATGAGGCCAGTGTGGATGAGGTGGAATGACCATGGAAGAGAAAAATAGAAGAGGGACTGAGGGATAATAGTAGACTCGTGTAAGACTTTGTAGTCTTTTGCAAGTGTTTCATTCTAAGTGAAATAGGAATCTATTGCAGGATATTGAAAAGAAGCGTATCAGCATTTCAGCTCTGGAATTAACAAGCTGTTTGTTGTTGAGTGCCATCAAGCGGATTCTGACTCATAGTGACCCTATCTGACAGAGCTTCCCCATAGGGTTTTCTTGGCTGTAATTTTTTTTTTTTTTTTTTGGCTTGTAAGAACAGAAATTTATTGTCTCATAGTTATGGAGGCCAAAAGTCTGAAGTCAGGGTGTGCTTTACATTAGGAGAAGATCCTTTCTTGTCTCTCCCAGAAGCTCCAGTGTTCCTTGGCTTGTGGAAGCCTAACTTCAATCTCTGCCTCCATTATCACATCTTCAATCTGTCTATCTGAGTCTCTTCTGTTTTCTGTTTTATAAGGATCACTCATATTAGATTCGGATCCGTCCTACTCCAGTAACCTCATGTTACCTAAAAAAAAAAAAAAAACCAACCCTCAGTGCTGTCGAATTGAATCTGACTCATAGCAACCCCTCCTTGGATTTCTGAGGCAATATCGCTATGGAAGTAGCTTCCTTCCGAGGAGTGGCTGGTGAGTTTCAACTGCCAGCCTTCTGGATAGCGGTCAAGCACCTTAGGCACTACGCTACCAGAGCTCCCTCATGTAACCTAACATAACATACTCAGAGACCTGGTTTCCAAACAAGGTCACATTCACAGGTGCCAGATGTTAGGACTTCAGTACATCTTTTTGGGGGACACAATTCAATCCATAACAAGAAATAAAGGAAATTAGTTGTGGGTTAGGAGAAGGAATAAAGAGGAGACAGAAAAGTGGTGATAATTTTACATTCCTCTTTTTGTAGCACTTTAAATTAGTGAGCCAAGAGGGTAGCTAGTCAGTGAGTGATTGTGGGACAAGGAAAATTCTAAAGGCACATTAAACATTTTGGGTAGCTCTACCTTTGCCCAAAATGTACAGTTAACTGGTCTTATTCCTCCCACTAAGCCTTGAGTCTGTCCTAAAGGAGTAATCATCTTGACCCGCCCCAAAAAGCATGCGTTTTTACTTGGCTGTAGTCTGTACAGAAGCGGGTTGCCAGTTCTTTCTCCCACAGAGCTGCTGGGTGGGTTCAAACTACTGGCCTTTCCTTTACCAGTCCATCACTTAACCATTGCACCACCAGACTACTTTAAACAAGTGCATAATGTCCAAACAGAAATATCAAGTTGAATATATAAATCTGGAGTTTGGGACAGAGATCTGGGTTTGTGAGGTGCAGTGGGGAGTCGTTGGCATAGATATTTAAAACCATGGGGCTGGAAGTGACCCTGTAGGGTAAAAGCTATAGGTAGAAAAGTGAAGAGCCCCAAGGATGGTCTTGAGACTTCAATATTAAAGGTTGAAAAAAAGAAGAGGGACCAGCAACAGGGAAGGAGACCAAGTTGGTAGGATGGAAACCAAGAGAGAGCAAATTAGCTGTACTAAGGCACAGGGAAGTGACAGAAGTGGATGAGATGTGGCTGCCAGTCAAGTACAGAGAAGCTGAGTGTTAACCATTGGATTTAGCAAGTGAAGATATTGAGCATAATTAGAACAGTTTCTGTGCAGCCTGATGGGAATGAGTTTGAGATAATGGAAGAAGATCTGTTGAAAATAGCAAGCAAGTTTTTCAAACAGTTATGCTCTGAAAGGGTACAAAGCAATGGAATGGTAGTTGGCAGGAGAGATGTCCTACCTCTCCCTTCTTTCTCTAATTCTCCATTCCCTTGCTTCCCTGCCTCCCCTGCTTTACCAGTGTGCCTTATCTACCAGCCGACTAGACGTTAGCTAAATGCACTACTTCAGCTCACCAGTCTAAGAGAATGACATCAGTGCTTTCGTTATTTTGTAATTGCATTATTAAATGATTTGGATGCTCATTCATATCCACCAAAAGCTTTCTTGTAATTTCTGAAGTAATTATGTGTTCTAAAATTTGCTCTGTGATTTTTTTTTCATGAACATGTGGTTAAAGACTAATGAAAGATCGAGCCATTATACAAGTAGCATTTCTGTAATCGGACATGCGTAACTACCTAGCTTCCATTTCTTATCAGTTCCCCCATCAAATTGATCCCAAGCAAATCCATGCTCTGAAGGAGAAATTTTGTATGATGGTGCAAAGATTTAGAGATAAAATTCATATATGTTTCATTTTGCATGAAAGGTGGAAACAGATTGTCAGTGCCCATGTATTTGAAGCACATTTGACTTTTACGGTGATTACCCAGATTTCTTTGGAGACCCAAAGTTTGGATGATGTGTACTGATTCCTTCAATGAAGAGGGATGTTCATTATGCAATGCCAGAAATGTTAGGAGTACGGTTCTGATGAAAACTAATACTCCTTTTTTTTTGTGTCCTTGTAACGTTGTTGTTAGGTATCATCGAGTTAGCTTCGACTCAAAGCTACCCTGTGTACAACAGAATGAAACACTGCCTGGTCCTATCCCAGCTTCACAACCTTGCTATACCTGAGCCCGTCATTGCAGCCACAGTGTCAGTCCATGTCATTGAGGGCCTTCCTCTTTTTCATTGACCCTCCACTTTACCAAGCATGATATCCTTCTCCAGAGAATGGTCCCTTCTGACAACATAATCAAAGGTCAGACGAAGTCTGGCTATTCTCGCTTCCAAGGTGCATTCCAGCTGCACTTCTTCTAGGACAGATTTGTTAGTTCTTTTGGCAGTCTGTGGTACTTTCAGGATTCTTTGCTAACACCATAATTCAAAGGCATCAATTCTTCTTCGATCTTTCTTATTCATTGTCCAGCTTTTGCATGCGTATGAGGTGATTGAAAATACTGTGGCTTAGGTCAGGCACACCTTAGTCCTCCAAGTGTTTTGCTTTTTAACACTTCTGCAGAAGTCTTTTGCAGCATATTTTCCTAGTGCAATATATTGTTTGATTTTTTTGACTGCTGCTTCCGTTGGTGTTTCATTTTACTTGGATCCACAATCAACCATAGTGGGTACCCTTGGAAAAAGAAATCCCACTTGCGCCTTATTTATCACATGCATCAGAAATAGACGTAATAGGAACTCTCTTCCTCTCAGTTTGCAGAGCAGATTCTTGTTTAAATTATATGGAATGGTTGACTTCAATTTACAGTCATTCTAGAAACATATTTAATATTTAAGACTTGTTAAGAATTAAAAAAAAAGACTTGTTAAGAGATTGCCATTCATTGGAAATTTATTTGCTTTTCTTGAAGAACTGATATTCAAATACTATAAAATTAATATCCTGGAGAATTTAAATGCAGGGACTTGTCTCTGGAGAGCAAGGATGGCAGTGCAGTTGTATGTGAGATGTGCATATTGTTCTCACCTTGTGTATTATTTTTGAATTTTTAATTTAAGGGAATTATTTTTAATTTAAGGGAAGTATATGAGTAGGCAGGGAACAGATGTTGCAGCCCCACCGCATTGAAACATCTAAGAAAGCTAATTGGGCTTACTAATTTAGGAAAAGTCATAAATAGGGTTGAGAATTACTTTCTGTGAATCCCAAAACATCACCTCCTATTTTGGATAGTGAAGTAATGGGAGATTGGTGTTAAGAAGAAGCATAAGCGCTTTTCTCTAACTGTTCCTGTGTAACAGAATTAAGCTTATATGGAGGAAAATAGCTTATTTTCCAAAACTGAACTAAATAGAACCTTTTGTTCAGTATCAGAACCTTTCAGGGACTCTGTAGTGGCTGTGACGGTGCAGCGGTTAAAATTCTCTGCCACCAACCAAATTGTGGGCTGTTTGAACCCAACAGCTGTGTTCTGTGAGACAAAGATGTGATAATCTGCTTCAGTAAAGATTTATAGCCTTGGAAACTCTGAGGCACTTCCACTCTGTCTTATAGGGTCACTATTTGTCAGAATTGACTCAGTGGCGGTGGGTTTGGTTTGGGTGGAATTCTGAACCATTTTAGAAAATACTGTTTCTAATGTCAACATCCTCTGTCATAGCACTGTTCCCCTGGGAGCAGACCAGATTCTTCTGCGAGGAGCTCAGCTGAGAAATACACAGTGGGTTCATGGAATAGTGGTCTACACTGGACACGACACCAAGCTGATGCAGGTGGGATTTTTATCTCTGCAAAGCTTTTGGAGTTAAGTCTTTTGAAAATGTGTTATTTGTAGTTCTTTGTGCAATAGACCCATAAACAGCAGACCGTTTGTCACAGATTCCTGAGCCCACCCCATACATTCAGAATATGCCTTTCAGGTGAGTAAACCAAACCAAGCCCACTGCCATCAAGTCAATTTTGACTCGTAGTGGCCTTATAAAACAGTAGAACTGCCTCATATGATTTCTAAGGCTATCAGTCTTTTACAAAAGCAGACTACTTCATCTTTCTCCTGTGGAATAGCTGGTGGGTTCAAACCACCGACCTTTTGGTTAGCAGCTGAGTGCTCTAACCATTGTACCACCTGAGCTCCTTTCATGTGATTACAAAAACCAAAATCCAAACTCACCGTCATTGTGTCGATTGCAACACATAGCAACCCTTATTGGTTTCCAAGGCTGTAAATCTTTATGGAAGCAGACTCCCTCATCTTTCTTCTGCAGAGTGGCTGATGGGTTCGAACCACTGACCTTTTGATTAGCTGCCAAATACAAGACATGACTCAATGCACACAAGAATGTTGGAAAGTTTTACTAAAGATCATGTGATGCCTGAACTCTTTGTGTATACATCTACTGACAGTGTTTTGTGAATATTGCAATGGTGGATTCAAGTTGTCTATTTTACATTGAGTGCTCTACATTATTTTGTCTTACAATTTAATTTAATACAGTGATCAAAATTTTAAAGTATTTTCATAAGGTTAGAAAATAAAAGTGTGAATCAAATGCTGACCATTTTTTTTTGCAGTGTTTGTATTTATTTATATAAAAATAGGATTATTTTCTAAAACAGCTTTAATCCTAGCACTTGTAGTGTTTACACATGGCTGCAGGTGCTCCTTCTCTATATTATAGTATAATCAGTTCAGTGGTCAGATGGGTAATGAAACTCAGTTTTAAGATACTAAATGAAAATCTACTCTGAAGGCTAATGACTTTGTCCATTGTAGCAGAAGACATCCGGCACCACTATTAATGATTCTACCCTCTGTAAGTTCTATAAATCATTACTTCATAGAATTTTTTTAATAGAAATTATGATAGGTTTGATTTTCTGTCCTATAAATGACTTGGTTAGCACAGATCTGACATAACCATTTGAATCATCAGATAAAACTGAGGGAACTTGCCTCTCTTACTCTTCATAACCAGGATTGCTTGAATCACTGCTGTGGCCTGTGAAACAGTGGCTGCATGTGACTAGATATTTGGAAACCAGAGATCCTTTCAGTGTTGCCTTTGTACTGGTCGTTTCCCAGCCTCTAGCTGTGGGGTGCTTAGGTCTGTTTGCCTGCTTCTTAAGCTGAGAACCTAGATGCTTCTGTCCTACCCTGTTTATGTCAGAAGCCAAATAATGCATGTTCATCTTTCTTGACACAAAGGAAATACTATGTTTACAAAAGGACAGTTATTTCCTTCTTTCTTATTTGACTTTCTTAAAAAGGCTGTAGCAGTACAGGGGCCTCAGGAAAAAGAGGTTGTTAATTATTGACGTAAGAGCCATAGTGGCACAGTGGTTAAGTGTCTAAAAGGTTGTCTGTTTGAACCCACCAACCGCTGCTTCTGTAAAGATTACAACCTGTGGGGCAGTTTTAATCTATCCTACAGGGTCGCTGTGAGTTGGAATCGACTTGATTGCAATGAATTTAGTTTGGTTTATCCCTGTCTAAGTGTTGAGTTCTGACTTAAATACACATTACTAAGCCTTTTTTTTTTTTTTTTATTGCTCATGTTATTTCTTTCCACAGAATTCTACAAGTCCACCACTTAAGCTCTCAAATGTTGAGCGGATTACAAATGTACAAATTTTGATTTTATTTTGTATCTTAATTGCCATGTCTCTTATCTGTTCTGTGGGATCAGCCATTTGGAATCGAAGACATTCTGGAAAGGACTGGTATCTCAATCTAAACTGTAAGCGTTAATGTTTCCAATATGCTTATTTTTTCTTTAATGCATGTATTTGTTTCACGGTTGATTTGATTTTGATTAATTTTGTGGAATTTCTTATCATTTCTAAAAAGAACTTGTTGCAAAGGTAACAGCATTTGATCTTTATTTTTTTTATGATATTTCCAGTAAAATTTTAAAAATATGAGAATCTCTAATATATCAGAATCATTAGAAACATGAGCACTCCATGATATAAAACGTTCTGTACATAAACCTATAAACATGAAACTTCTTTACAAATATTTTTACACAAGTAGTTAGCTTTCTGATAATGAAAGCAGACTGAGTATGTCTGGAAGATATAATAAATGTATTTATATTTCAAAGCACCAAAAACTAGTTTACATGTTTTTAAAAGCATTAAATTGAACGTACTGTCATTTAATCTCATGAATGGCATGAGTGCTGTGCAAATAGTCATCTTGAAGCATTTATCTTTCAATTGTGGTTGTTAATTACCAATCTAGATATTTAAGAAGTAACTTTGCGTTGCTCTTTGCTAAGTATTTAAGTGGTAGTACTTAATTTCCAAAAAGTGTGAAAACAATTTCGAGTACAATCTTGTAACAAAATCTTAATATTTTTGATTGTTTTATTATATTTATTTAGCTTTGCTTTTCCAAGTTCTATGCACATCCATTGATTTGCTATTTCAACTTTAGAACTGTTCCTACTTCCATCAATTTGTGTCTTCATATATTTTACAATATCTCTTAAACAGCTTATTTTGTTTTCATTATTGAAGAGGAAGAGTCTAATTTATCTATGGTTGTCTAGTACTCAGATACTGAGTTTGGGTTGCTTTTGCTGCTGTTATATCCATTCACTTTTAAAGTGTACTTTAAATTGGAAATATGTTTCAATTATTTTGGTAAAGGTGATGATTCTACTCAATTGAGTTTTTCATTTCTAAACCATGAGATCTATGTCCGTGATATTTTGAAACTTTATGTTTGGAAAAGGATTTTAAATACTTAATAGTACTTTCACTCTCAAACCATTATTCAGTTTTTAATAGGGTAAACACTAAACTGAATACAAATATTATTTGATCTTGAAGAATGTATTTGAGAATAAAGATATGTTATTAGCATAGTTTGCCTCCCAAATTATCTAGACATACTATATAATAACGTCCTTTGTATGCTGTAGTTCTGGTCAATGCAAATAAAATATAAAACTGTAAATGACATTTTCCCCACATTCTCCAACAGATGGTGGTGCTAATAATTTTGGATTGAATTTCTTGACCTTCATCATCCTTTTCAACAATCTCATTCCTATCAGCTTGTTGGTTACATTAGAAGTGGTGAAATTTACCCAGGCATACTTCATAAATTGGGTAAATATGAATTATTACTGTTTTTTATCCTCCTGAGCAAACATACTGCCTTTTTTCCTATGATAGGGTCTTTTGAACTCTCAGAAAAATATCTTCATTGTACTTATCTTTTGTTGACTGGAGCCCTGGTATTGCCATGGTTAAGAGCTCAGGTGCTAAAAGAAAGGTCAGTGATTTGGTGATTCGAACCCACAGGAACTATACAGGAAATAGACTGCTTCCATAAAGATTTACAGCCTTGGAAACCTAATGGAGCAGTTCTCCTGTGCTATATAGGGTTGCTCACTATGAGTCAGAATTGGCTTGATACCAGCTGGTTTATTGACTACAAGATGAATTTCAAAATATTTTTTAGCCAAATATAATGGTAACAAAGTCCTCCATCTTCAAATCAGGTTTGCAGCCCAGACATCCTGGGGAAAATAGGTCTCTAGTTCAGAAAATCTGATTTGTGTTACCTAGGGGTAGCGGGGAAAGGTAAACCATGGAGTTTAGGGTTAAGATATATAGATTACAGTTTCTGTTATTGACCACATGAGTGAACTCTGCTGAGTCACTTCTTTGAGCTTTATTTTTTTGTGTACTAACAGAAGGCTGGTGGTTAAAACCCACCAACCACTCCTCAGAAGGAAGGTTGGGCAATCCTACTTCCGTAGTGATTGTTGTTGTTGTTATGTGCCGTCGAGTCGGCCCCGACTCATAGCGACCCCTCCTTGGGTTTCCAAGGCAATATCACTACGGAAGTAGGATTGCCCAACCTTCCTTCCGAGGAGTGGCTGGTGGGTTTGATCCGCCAGCCTTCTGGTTAGCAGTCAGGTGCTTTAGCCATTATGCTACCAGAGCTCCTACTGCCTCTGAAACCCAAGGAGGGGTCGCTATGAGTCAGGGCCGACTCGACGGCAAAGAACAACAACAACAACAACATGGGAATGAGAAAACATGCTTAAAGGGTGTCTTGTACAGGTTAAAGGAATCTTGTGACAAAGCAAAGAGCCTCATAAACTGTTGAGCCCTATGCAAATAACACTATTTACTACTTGTAACATCCAAGTTGTCTATCAGTTTTATACACTTAATGTGGTTTATTTTTCCACACTCTAAAAAAATTTAACTGTGCTTAAAGTTTTCTTCTTACATTTTTTTCTTCTTCTTTTTTTTTTTTTTTTTAATTAGGATTTCGGTGAAGATTTACAGAGTAAATTCACTTTTCATACAGCAGTTCACATATACTTTGTCTCATGTCATTGACCAAAATTTACA